TACAATCATTAACAAAATAATCTTACAAATTGTATAAATTATTCTGTATTTATCTTTACTAGGATTTAATAATTTAAAACTAAAATATATGTGTATAAAGTGTATATAGTATATAATATGTAATAAGATATTAGAAAGTGATCTTTATAATAATTGTATTTACTATTACTAAGTTATAAGATTATTTTGTTAATTATTATAAATAAGATAAAAATATGATATGAATAATTTTAATTTTATAATTTATAATTATTTTTATTATTTAAAAGTATTTAGATCTGAAGTTAAAAATACAGAATAAACAGATCATATTTATAGTAAAGAGAAATAAATATGAAAATAAATAAATTAATAATAAAATCTATTTTAAAATACATATAGTTAAACAGAATTAATTAACTTAATTTATGTCTTTAAAGAATAACTAATTATATATTAAATCTAATATATTAAATGCATAATAATCATTTATATATTCAAAATAAAATTAATCTTTAAGAAAAAGTAATACAAAGCTAATCTGTAATACAGATAATACAAAATAAAGATCTAAACTAAAAGAAAGATAATTTAATTAAAATTATTATAATATATTATAATTAGAATTAATTTTGAATTAATTTAGAAATTAATCTTGATTATAATATATTAAATTTAATTATATTTAATAAAATAAACTAATTTTAAAAAAATATAACTAAAAATTTTATTATTTAATTTTAAAATTTTTTTTATTAATTTAAAAAACTTAACTTAATTTATAAATTATTAAAATTAGATTTTAAAATAAATAATAAATTATAAGTTATATAAATTTGAAAATTTTTATTTTTTTAAGAAATTTAGAATTTTAATACTTTAATTTTATTAAAATTATAATTATTCTAAACTATATTAAGAATTTTAATTAAAATTATACTTATTATAAAGTTTTAATAATAAATAACTTTTTATGTTATTATTTTTGAAATTAATTTTTAGAAGAATTACTTATTTTTGAATTCTTTAAATAAATATAAATATATTAATAATTAATAATTCAAATTAAATATTTTATAATATATTAAATTTATCTTATTGAGATAATTATTTTAATAATTTTTTCATTTAAATCTAATTACTAGTTATTAAAATACTTAAAAAATATTTATTATTATTATTAAAAATTATTATTATAAATAGAAATTGTTTATTTAACTTTTCTAATATTTTTGAATTTGAAAAGAGAGAAATTACTTATTTTAAAAAATTATTTATATAATTTTTTAGTTACATAATATAATATATTAGAAAAATTTACATAGAAAATTCAAGATATAGTAAAGTAATTGAAATAATATTTATACAGAAAACTAATTTAAGAGTAGATAAGATTATTATATTAAAAACTTAAATTTTATTATATTAATTAAAGATATTATCTTAATTAATTATAACTTATGATAGTTAATTAGAAAATTATAATTAATTATAATAATTAATCAAAGAATTATAACTAAATTATAATATCATCTTTAATATTAATTATTATTAAAATTATAAAATAGATATAATATTTTTAAATAATAAATTAATAATATATAATACTTATATAGTAATATTTCTGAAAGATACTTATTAATAATTAAATAAAAAAAATAAATAATTATAAATAAAAATATAAAATAGATATATATTAATTATATTAATAAAACAAGAAAGAAAAAAATTCTACTAAAAAACTTTCTTTAAAATAACTTAATTATATTATATGACTTTCTTGATAAAAATAAGATAATTATGATATAATAGTTATATGTGATGTAATATATGATGTAGTATATAATATAGTAATAATCTGTGAAATAAAATATAATTTATTATAATTTATTATTAAAACTTTATGATATATTGAATTAATATTAAAAATTTTTTTTGATAATTAAAATTTTTTTTTATTTATATTTTTTTTCTTTTTTTTTTAGTACTTATATAATAATTAATATAATTAAATTTAATATATTAATACTTTAAAATATTTATTTTAATATTTAATTTAATTAATTAATAATAATATATAAAAATAATATATTACTTATATTATTAATCTTTAATTATATTATAATTAGTTTTTTAATTATTAATTAATTATAATTAAAAATTTTTTTTATAATTATATTTTTCTTTAATTACTTAATTTTACTTTTTCAAGTACTAATTACTTTTTTTAATTTTTCAATTATTAATTAATTATAATTAAAAAATTTCTTTATAATCATATCTTTTTTTAATTATTTAATTTTATTTTTTTTAAATATAATAATTATAAAAAGATTTAATAAATATATAAATAATAAAATAAATAATAATTTATAAGTTGGCAAAAAAATCTGATATTATTATATTTAATTATAAGTAATAATTATTAATTTACATAAATAATGATATATTTTTTACTATTTTTTAAATAAAATATTTTTATTTAGAATTTTGTAAAATATTATTTTTTTTAATAATTATAATAGTTAGTTTAATAATATTATATAATTATATAATTATTAAATAATATATGGTCAGATCTCTCTATAATCACATCTCTTTATAATCATCTTTTTTTAGTAAGTTTTCCAGTTACTAATTAATTATAATTAAATAAAATCTCTTTAGTTATTCAATTTTGCTTTTCAAGTATAATGACTATAAAGAGATTTGACTGTATTTAAATTATTATTCTATTGAGAAATAATATCATTTAGCTTTTAAATTAGATCTTTTTCCCTAAATCCATGTCACCAAACTATTACTATGTAATTAGTAAAATTTTGAAGTTGGACAGCATTGACATATTTACTAATTGTAATTTGACGAACAAGAGTTTGTTTATTATGTATGGTAAGTTTTTGATTTGAACATTATTACTTTTTTTTAAGTCTTAGTATGAAGAATATTGAAGTGATGAGCAATTCCGTGTGCACTATAATCTTCAACATTTTTCTAATATGAGCTGCACCATTTACTTGAGGGATATTACGAAAAACGTTCATCGGGATTGCATGTGAGTGAGAATCAGGTGATTAACGATCAGCAATGTAAGTGGTGCGTTATTTTTGCAGAATCGAAACCGAACAGAACCGAATCGGTTAGATCCGGTTCTCACTTGGAACCGAACCGAATCTAAACGGTTTCTGTTTCTAAGAGAAAACTGAACCGAACCGAACCTTAAACTTGCCAATCTAATATCGATATCAATTGATTAAGGGATAATCCTGATTCAATGTTAGTGAGCGAACTTGAAAATTATTTCATCAATCAAACATTTGCTTTGCAACAGAAGCGATTCTTGATCTTTGTGATGTTTTCAGGAAAACGATTTATTCTTAAGGGATAATGGGAACGATTGTTAAATATGATATCAAGCAAATTGTCACTTTTACAAGTCTAAAAACATTGTATTTTTTTGGGAAGCTATTTGTCATATTATTATACGTTTCTTGTCCTATTGATCTCAATTATTAGCGTTATCATATTGGCTTTCTAAATACATTCGTTGAAAATAAAAGTATTAATAAAAATAAATAAGAAAGATTGTTACAGAATCATAGGAATGAATACATATGATGGAACACGAAGACTAAGCAAGTAATTTAACATGATATTATATTTATTTCAATTAACCAATAGTTGTGTATTATTATTATTATTATTATTATTATTATTGAGCAATGCATACAAATACACAATTAAATAATTAAACATTCTACTGATTATTCATCCGTCATTCTCTATAAAAAATAAGAGATTCATCTTGTTCAATGTAATTTAGTAGATAGTACCCAATAATAAATTTTAGTAACGATAAAATAGATGACGATAGTTTAGGAGAGAATTTAATTAAAATGATGAATCACCTTTGGAAGATTGTGCTTACCTTTTCATATAGAAATAATCAAGAACACATCTTCATCGATGGTAATATTTTTGATAGATTCTTTGATGTGCTCAACAAATCTTTTTTTTTAATGTATTAAAATACAAGATTAATAAATAATATATATTGGAAATCAGACCTATTCTAGTTAAGTGTCCGGATTCGCTGCTCGGTATTCTTCTCTCTGGCGAAGCAAATCGCCAAACTCATCTTCTGGCAACTCAAAATTAAGTTTTTTACTTAAAGCGACCGGCAATTTTGTTCCAAAAGCCAATGCTGATCGTGTGCTTTTCCGATATCCTGTCGGCATGGGTGTATTTGGCTTTATGAAGGTAGTTATTCCTGTAGGTTCACCGAGATCAATGAGATCTATTTCATTTTCTGGAATATTACTCAGGGAAGCCGATGTACTAATACTGTTTCTTAATTGTTTGGATGAATTATCATCAGTGTTTTTATTTTTATTTGATGAAACTTTGAGCTTCAACTTTTTTGATGAGGTCTCTGAATTAGTTTTTATCTCCTCACGCATACGTTTTTTTGATTTCTTATTGTTATTAGAATGTGGATGTATGAAATTATTATTGTTGCTGTTGTTGTGGTGGTGGTGGTGGTGGTGGTGGTGGTTGTTGTTGTTGTTGTTGTTGTTGTGGTTGTGGTTGTGGTTGTTGTTGTTGTTATGGTCATTGTTGTTGCTATTATTATCATCATTATTGTTGTTGTTATTATTGTTGCTATTGTTGTTGTTGTTGTTGTTGTTGTTGTTGTTGTTGTTGTTGTTGTTGTTGATGTTGATGATATTATTGTTGTTGTTGTTGTTGTTGCTGTTGACATTGCTATTTGATGTAACATCTTCTGAACTAGTTATACTATCCTTTCGTCTTTGCTTTTGTTTCTTTGAATTTATTACTTCTCCTGGACTTTTTGTAGCTTCACTTTCTGTTGTCTCCCCACTGCTAGTGGGAAAGTCCGGTTTTCGTTTTTTCCCACCTAATCCTAATTCATCGTATCTTTTTAATGTATCTTCTGCTTCTCGAAGCAATTTCTTATGCATAATCTCTATATCATTAGCATCAATCGTATTCGATGATTCTGTTCGTAGCGCAGCAATTGGGATTAATCGATTCATCTCCATATTTCGTAACTTCTCTACTGCCAGCTGCTGTTGATATCTTTCATATGTTAGTCTTTCACGCTCTCGGTTCTTTAACTTTTTTTCTGATAATTCAAATTTTCGATGTCTCTTTTCGTATTTTTCCGGTAAGATCTCCTCCTACGAAAATTAAAGTATATACGGCGATGATTATTTTAAATATTAAAGGAAGTTCTAATCTATTTCTTTAAGCTAGAGTTTTCCTTTTACCTACTTCTTGGGTTTTACTGCGTAATCCACTTTCCAAATCTTCAACGAATGGTTTGAAAAGAGGTTCTGAAACTTCATTTGTTGATTGCTCTACTTCCATCATATTATTCGCTTCGTCGATTGTTTCACAGCCTTGTAAATCACTTTCTTTATTTGTTATTAATATGAAATCCTCAGGAGACAAATAGAAGGTATTGCTGTCGTTTTCTAGCAAGTAAGCGTATCATAGTGAAGAAATAATTGAAAATTTAATATAAACCAATAAAGCCAGGTTAGTGTAAAGATGCCCTAACCCACCTAACAACGAATCAGAGCTCGTAACACCTGCTAGCGGACCGAATTTCCTTGGTGGCAAGATGCGCTTTTTGCCTGTAGTTGCTGAAGTGTGTCGCATCTCACTAGTAGAGTTTGTGCTGGCTTCATTTGACGAAACCTCTTTCTCTTTTGAAAAAAACTTCTTATTTGTTGATTTGGAATTATTTGAGTTGTCTTCAATCATTTTAATATAGATTTGTATTCTCAAAAGTGTATAATAAAGTTTACGTTGCCTTATTCGTAAACACAAAGATAGTCGAGATGTTGACATAAATTTTGATCTACATCGTATCGAATGATTTTTAATACATTTTTTTTGCTAATACTGTAAATAATAAATAATAAATTACTCTTCCATTGTATCGTGACTAATTTTATGTGAGGAAATTGTAACATCACTATTGGGAATAGATTCAAGATTGTCGATGAAAGGTAATTCTTCCCATTCACGATAAATTTTTTTAATATAACATGATGATGTTTTCAAACGGAATGGATCAAAAGGAAAAAATGTAAACTGATCTAATCGAGTAGGTAATTTATCATTATCATCATCGTCTTCGACGTCGTCGTCGTCATCTTCGTCGTCATCACCGTTTTCGTCTCCTTTGCCGACGTAAATACCGTTGCCTTCATAGTTTCCGTAGTTGTGGTAATCCTGGTCGTTGGTTATCCGAGATGATGGTACTATAAATTGTTGCCCATTCGTCAAAAGAGTATAACAAGACATGAAATTAAGGCTGTTTGAAATTTTTGCAAACTGTCTGACAATTCCTTGTGAGCAAATCTAAATAATATCATTAATATTAATTAAATATCGTATAATAAAATCACAAGAATGTACATATAATTATTAGTGTACCTTTAAAGGTTCAAATTTGGATGTGATTAATCTATCAAATTCACGAATTTCCTCGCACCAATTTAAATCTGAATTTTTTGGAGATCTTTTAAGCCGATAAATCATCTGCTCTTGTGTTTCTCCTTCTTCTTTAAGGATTAAATCCTTCCAGCGAAAACAAAATATATACATTAATGCCTGTATTAAAGAATACATAACTCCGTATTTTTCTGGATCTGAGCAATGTACGTGATTTTCAAAACGGAACATATGTTGCCAACCACATCTCATTAACATCTTTACTGAAGAGCGAACTGCAGTTTCGTCCATGAAATTTGCTCGAGCTACCAGAGAGCCTAAATAAAGTACTGATGAAATTTTTTCGCCTTGAGGATGACTTTCATTCCATAAAGTTGAATATAAAGATGTCAAAAATTGTTCGAGAAATTGTCGATCTAATGACACATGCCAAAATATTAAAAATTGTGTATATCGAGATTTGAATGTTGACAAAATCGTGTTAGAAAATATTTTCATTAAATCTTGAAACGCGCACCCCAGATATTCTCCTTTTGAAGAAGAAATTTTAAAGTTCCAATTTAAAAAGTCAAATAGTAACTTTAGCATGCAATCAAGCTTTTCCATTAAATCTTGAACATCGTAATGAGCTTCTTCTGGTTCTTCCAGATCAAGATCAAGATCAAGATCAAAATCATTTTCACTTTCACTTTCGCTATCATCAGATTCTTCGTCTAATTCCATATCAAATAAATTTTCGGAATCTGTAAATGTGTTTTTCTCATCCACTTGATTCTTTTTTTTTAACGTTTCCTCGTTGTTATTTTTTGATTTTTTGGTGATAGCTCCCGGATTATAATCTAAATTAAAAAATTCCATTTCATCTTCCATTTCTTCAACTTCAAGTAAACTTCCTTGAATTTCAGCCTGCATTATTTTAAAATCAAAACATGTGAAACGCGCTTTTATTATTATGAGTTCCGATTTTATGCAGAAACAAATTTTGATGATAAATACTTGCATCAATGTTAATTGTTCGTTCTATAATCAATTGCAATACTTGATGCCGCAAGTCCTTGGCATAATCAAGGAAAATCAATAAATTCTTGACATATGTCACATGTGTTTGAAGAGATTCATGTTTATGCGGAAATTCTCGTTCCAACATGGGAAGTATCAAAGTTTTCCAGGATGGGATCATTCTAATCAAAGTTTTAAGCACACAATGAATATTCATATAAATCCGTTCATCATGGTTACTATTTATTAAATCGAAGTCTATGATAAAAATCACATCAATAATAAGAATAATAATTTAGACATTATGTTAATTCATCTTTTTAATGTGCGAAACTTAAAAAAAGAAAACAATTACCAAATTTAAAATTCTTCACTGTCATGTTCAAAGCTTCCACAGCATAACATGAATGAGTTGAAATTAGAGTTCGGATAAAAATGATAAAAGCATGAAGAGTATCCTCGTCAAAAATAATCCAAACTATTCCAAGAACCGCTTTAACAAGTGGACGAAATGACGTATCCAAATGTGAAATATTATGAGTTAAGCTTACAATCCATTGTCTCTTTTTTTCAAGAGATAATGAATCATTGCTGTTGCCAAATTTTTTAAATGTCTCAATTATAAATTCATAATCATTCGAATCACCCTTTAATAAAATATATAATCAGGTTATCTTTATTGTAGAACAAAATTTGCATGTCTTTAAAACCAAAAATTTACTTATTCTTGGATTTTTTTATTATATCATAATCAATTTGATGCCACAAGATAAACTAGAATTGCTAATTTACGGACCGTAATTCTAACGAGGAGGAATGATTTCATATCTGGAAATTATGGTTTCTCAAATCTATTAATAAACTTACCAATTTCTTTTGATTAAAAGCTTTAGCAAAAAATTTTATTTCAATTTCAACCTTTTGGTTGAATGAATCCGATTCTCCGGAAAACTCGTATTTCCCTTCAAAGTTTTTCAGAGAAAGGTTATTCCAGGGAATCTTTCCTGAATCAGGATAAAGAGAAATTGCTGGGAGAGGAACAGACGCGGATGGCATGAGTTAATTACTTGAACAAGAGTAGGACACGAAAAAAAATTTTTGTTGAGTAGAAAGTGTTGGGTCGTTGGGTCATGTGAATCAGACCTAACAATTGTGAAAACGGCACATGCCCGGAAAGATTACCTGATTCAGCACTGGCGTAGCCAGATTAAAAATTACCTTTTATTCGGTTCTGGGATAATCGTTTTTGATTGGTCACACCACGTTGTCTAATTAATTCTTTAATGTTAGTCGGATGTGACAAAATCGAAATCCAGTCATTTCACGTGTTAAAGTATTTATAATGATAACTGATGGTATTTACCAAAACCGAAATTTTCTTCACAGCTTTATATTTTCTCATGTCAACAACAGGTTTGTACAAAGGACAACGCTGCAATTTGTCCTCATTTCAAACTTGGTACTACTCTCAACTAACATTTTTCTTCTTAGCACAAGATCTTCAACAGGTTGCAAAACGACTTGCTTCCTACACAGCACCCGAGGAAGTGTATAATGACTTAATAGCAAGCGACGGTGAGGACGTGGATCCTTTTGCGCAAAGAAATGTCTCGAGAAGAATTATAGATAGAGAAAGTGATTATCATGCTCGCAGGTTGAACAGAGTAATTTCCCCGGAACGCCAGGATCCTTTTTCCGAAGGTGAAGCAAACGTTGAATCAAGGTCATATGCTGATGTAATGCGAGAAGCCGAACTTGAACGTGAGCAAAGAAAAGTTTTGCAAAAATTGGAAGAAAAGAAGAAAGAAGCGAAGGAAGCGGCAATTGATCAAACTTCTGCACAAAAGAAGAGGCGCTGGGATATGGCGACAACAGTGGAAACTAAAGCCACCTCTGAATGGTCAAAAACTGATGAAGTGACAACTCTGAAAAATAGATGGGATGAAACCCCTAGAGTTTCTATTGATGCTACTGCTGAAACTCCCAGAAAAAGAAGCAGATGGGATGTTACCCCGATGGTCTCTTCTAAAAAATCTCGTTGGGATGAAACTCCCGCAAATGGCAATTCTCAATTTGGAGTCACTCCCGTTGGAAATTTAGGTCTCATTACACCAACGCCTGGTTATTTGGCACCGATGACACCAGAAGGTAATTAAACTTCACCGATTTCTATATGGTTAATATACATCCAATAAATAATTAACGATTATATATGATTAATAAGCCCAACGCTGGGAAAAGGATTTAGATGCACGTAATAGACCACTCACTGACGAAGAACTCGATGCAATGTTTCCATCAACTGGATATAAAATTCTTGAGCCGCCATCAGGTTATGTTCCTATACGTACCGCAGCACGTAAACTGATGGCCACACCGACTCCGATGGCAGCTGAGGGATTCGTAATGTTAGAAGAGGATCGAACCCAAATGTACGATTTACCCGCAGAAATTCCGGGTGTTGGTAATCTTCCATTCTTTAAACAAGAAGACATGCAACATTTTGGAAAATTATTGGATGATAAAGATGAAAGTGAATTGTCAGTAGAAGAACTTAAAGAGCGCAAAATCATGCGTCTTTTACTAAAAATAAAAAATGGAACTCCACCGATGCGAAAAACAGCGCTCCGACAAATTACAGACAAAGCAAGGGATTTTGGAGCCGGTCCTCTTTTCAATCAAATCCTTCCCTTATTAATGTCTCAGAATTTGGAGGATCAAGAACGACATTTGCTCGTTAAGGTTATTGATCGTATTCTATACAAGTTAGATGCCCTAGTTAGACCTTATGTTCATAAAATCCTAGTCGTCATTGAACCGCTTTTAATTGATGAAGATTACTTTGCTAGATGTGGTAAGTTTCTGCAATCATTTCATTGAGATTGTTCGCATTTTTTAACGTGAATGTTTATCTTTTCAGAGGGTCGTGAAATTATTAGTAATTTAAGTAAAGCTGCCGGATTGCCTACAATGATCGCGACAATGAGACCTGGTAAGCAGATAATCTCATTTGTACATTAATCAGCATTATATTAATTAATATTTTGCATTAAGATATCGATCATGTGGATGAATATGTTCGTAATACAACCGCTCGAGCTTTTTCAGTTGTTGCCTCTGCACATGGAATTCCAGCATTACTTCCTTTCTTAAAAGCTGTTTGTAAAAGTAAGAAATCATGGCAAGCTCGACATACAGGCATTAAAATTGTCCAACAAATCGCCATCTTGATGGGCTGTGCTGTCTTGCCACACTTAAAAAACCTTGTTGAGGCGATTGCTCACGGTTTAGAGGTGAATTTTTGCATTACTAAGTTTATATTTTCAGAAAATTAACTTACTTCTTATTCATTAAATACTATTTACAATATAGGATGAGCAACAAAAAGTTCGTACTATTACAGCTTTAGCAATAGCTGCTCTAGCAGAAGCTGCTGCGCCTTATGGTATCGAATCTTTTGATTCCGTTCTTAAACCACTATGGACTGGCATTCGAAAACATCGTGGCAAAGGATTAGCAGCTTTTCTGAAAGCAATTGGATACATTATTCCCTTAATGGATGCTGAATATGCCAATTATTATACAAAAGAAGTGATGATTATTTTGATTCGGGAATTTCAATCGCCAGATGAAGAAATGAAAAAAATTGTCTTAAAAGTGGTTAAACAATGTGCCGCAACTGATGGTGTCCAACCTCAATATATAAAAGAAGAAATTTTACCGGAGTTTTTCAAAAACTTTTGGGTACGCAGAATGGCATTGGATCGACGTAACTATCGTCAAGTTGTAGAAACCACTGTAGAATTGGCGCAAAAAGTTGGAGTTACTGAAATAGTTGGGCGCATTGTAGAAGATCTTAAAGATGAGTCTGAACCTTATCGAAAAATGGTGATGGAGACAGTTGAAAAAGTTGTCAGCCAATTGGGAGCAGCTGATATAGATACGCGTCTTGAAGAAGTATTAATTGACGGCATTCTTTACGCTTTTCAAGAACAAACGGTTGAAGATATAGTCATGCTTAATGGATTTGGTACAGTTGTTAATGCTTTAGGACTTCGTGTTAAACCATATCTGCAACAAATTACATCCACAATTCTGTGGCGTCTTAACAATAAATCAGCTAAAGTGCGTCAACAAGCTGCAGATCTAATTTCCCGTATTGCAGTTGTAATGAAGAATTGTGGTGAAGAAAAATTAATGGGTCATCTTGGTGTAGTTCTCTATGAATATCTCGGTGAAGAATATCCCGAAGTTCTTGGCTCCATCCTTGGTGGCCTTAAATCAATAGTAAATGTGATTGGAATGTCTAGCATGACCCCACCGATAAAAGATTTACTACCTCGACTGACTCCGATTTTAAAGAACAGGCATGAGAAAGTAGAAGTAAGTTCTTGTTAGGAATTTTTGAATATCTAACGCAATCAATATTCGATATCAGAGTTACAGTGATAACATTATGAATTTTTTAATCAGGAAGCATGTATCGACTTGGTAGGACGTATTGCTGATCGTGGGGCAGAATTTGTCTCCGCAAGAGAATGGATGCGCATTTGTTTTGAATTATTAGATATGCTCAAAGCACACAAGAAAGGAATACGTCGAGCTACAGTAAATACATTTGGATATATAGCAAAGGCCATAGGACCACAAGATGTCCTGGCAACTTTATTAAATAATTTAAAAGTTCAAGAAAGACAGAATCGAGTATGCACAACAGTTGCCATAGGTAAGTTTAACTGACTACATTATACTCTCGTATTATTATTAATATTATTAATAACCTTCATCTGTTAAACGTAGCAATCGTCGCCGAAACGTGTGCTCCTTTCACTGTTTTACCTGCGTTAATGAATGAATATCGCGTACCAGAATTGAACGTGCAAAATGGTGTGCTTAAGGTTAGTTTGATTTCATATGTTTTGCTAATTCTTTTTCAAGATCGATTCTCATCAAAAAAAACTCTTACGTTTAGTCGCTTTCTTTCCTATTTGAATATATCGGCGAAATGGGCAAAGATTATATTTACGCAGTAACACCTCTACTTGAAGATGCTCTAATGGATCGCGATTTAGTGCATCGGCAAACTGCATGTACTACTGTCAAACGTAAACATATTCATTTTCTTATATTTCGTTATCTTAAACATGGAATTTAGCTAATATTAAAAAACTTTATTCTATTTAGATATGTCACTGGGAGTATTTGGTCTTGGCTGTGAAGATGCTCTTTTACATCTTCTAAATTATGTATGGCCAAATATTTTTGAAACTTCACCTCACGTCATTAACGCAGTTATGGAAGCAATCGAAGGATTACGAGTTGCGCTAGGTCCTTCAACTATATTACAATATGTCTTACAGGTATGTGATGAATATGAAGTTTCTATATATGGAACTTTATTGCTTACTCTTATGTCCTTGTTTGCAGGGATTATTTCACCCAGCTCGGAAAGTGCGTGAGATTTATTGGAAAATCTATAATCAACTTTACATTGGTGCTCAGGATGCGTTGATTCCATATTATCCTCGGATTGAAGACGATGAACGTAATAATTACGAAAGATACGAACTCTCCATGTGGCTCTAAGTACAATCAAGTCTTGTTATAATAACATCCTTTGCAATAACATTTTAATATAACAAATAACGTCGTTAATCTGGAACAAATTTTTCATAATAAAAGTCGTTTTATTATAATAAATTCGTCATACAATAACACCACCATAAGTGCACGCCCTGGTATATACGTGCACTCAGGGAGGGTGTGCATTTAAAGAACAGCCAATAGAAAAATAGATAAATTACTCATATATTTAAATGGATATAAAAATAAATGCTGATATTAATTTTGAAATAAAGAATCGACTGGTGTAAATTTAATTTGAGTGGATTTCTTGGTATTTGCTTATAGAGCTTGCGATAATTTATTCAGGGAAGAGAAATTAATCCGTGATCTCTACTTGGTCGTCGTTATGTAACCATCACGTGGTGCATTTACCGTTTCAATTTTTTGAAAATCATATATAAAGATTCAAATCAAAAATCGTAAACTACATCTTTCCTCTCTTTATGTATTTGTCCGCACACCAAGCAACTAAGAAACTTGGTATCTCATCAGACACCCCGCGTCCGATGATTAAAACAAGAACATATCTTCTATTTTTCCAGAGTTAACTTCACAATATATCGATAACAACGCCGCCGCCGCCATCACAGATCTTATTGGAACAGACAAGTCACGGAATGATCTCAGAAATTGTGGTTATCCATCATGATCAACTCTGCCACTTCATCTTCAATATCATCCAGTCGGAAAAAAATGACAATCAAATGATATGATTTAATTTGTGCAATTTTTATTTAAAAAATCTCAAAAATTAACTATAACTAGCCTATAGTATATACTTTGATTTCTAATACTTTGTTTCACACCCTTTATTATTTATAACTAGCTCAAGGCATTTTGATATTGATCATACTAATTTTTGACATAACCTCACATTGATTTTTTCCCACTCCTCCTCTATTATTCTAATAAAAACCTCTTGTGATACGGATTTTTTTTTATAAATCATCAAGTTAATTCTTTTCTCCACCCTTTTTTCATAATTGATCACAAGTTCTCAATTGGATTGAGATCTGGCAAGTATGATCATTCAATAAAATGGTCATAAGCTTAGCATAATACTTAGAATTATTGTCTTAAGAATTCAATTTGCTTGCATAAATAAATTTTTGATTAGTATTTCATAATATAATTTATCATTTATAATTTTTACAAAAGTTTTAAATCTAATAATTCTCTTCATGCAAAATGCTCCTTACACATATACTTTAAATAGATGTTTCATGATCTCTTGAGTTGGTATTGATTATCTAGCTTTATAATGAATCTAAACCATATTTCAAAATATTTGGAAGATGAATTTATTAGAAAAAATTATAATATTTCATCATTTTTTTTGATATTTTTTCACCCAGGTAAGCTGATATTATTTTGCTAATTTTGTAAGAAAAGAAACCTTTTATGAAATATAAATCTTAAATTCAAGTTCTTGTAGATTTTGCCAAACTATCTGTGATACTATATTTAAACTGGAATAAATATTATTGAGAGTCTTTACTATCTTCTTGCTCATTGCACTTTTTTTTAATTACAATTTGCCTAAAATATTTCTATTATTCAAGACTAAGTTTTTTTGAATAATCTGAATATTGATCTTGCTTTAGATCATTTATTTTGACAAGCTTGACAGCCTATCTGTATAATATTTTGGTAGAAAATCCAGTTATCCTTTGAAATTTAATGATTTCTCTATATTCATATTTTTATAATAACTTGATAAGAAAATATCTTCTTACAAGAAAATTTATGTATAATGATAATAATGATAAAATATTTTTTATCCATCTTAAATCATATAATAAATATATTTGTAACTGATTTTAGTATTATTATAATATAAAAAAAGATCTAATAGCATAATTTCTAAAATAAAAAGAATTATCACTTTTTTTCATCATCATTATATATATAGTCAGATCTCTCTATAGTTATATCTTTTTATAGTTATCTTTTTTGAGTTTTCCAATTACTAATTAATTAATCTTTTTATAGTTACATCTCTCTATAATTATTCAATTTACTTTTTCAAGTATAATAATTATAGAGAGATTTGATTATACTTTTTATATTATAAAACTTGTAATTCTCTTTGATAATATAATTTCTAATAAATATAAATTTTCTCAAAATACTCTTGTAATTAATATAATTTTTATTTGCTGAATGCAAAAAAGAAGAGCTATTATTTATTGATAAAAATACCAGACTAGGAAAAAGTACAAGATAAAGATTAGATTAATATTAATATATAACAAATAATAATACTTGAAAATTACTCTTAATTATATATTACTAATCAAAATATATTCAAATCACTCTCAAAAATAGTTATTGAAATATTGGATGGGCTTGATGAAATATATTATTACCTTTTTGATGCGAGTTCTGAGGTAAGGGTGAGTATTAAACCTAATATTACAAAAACACATGATAAAAGTGACCATGTATTTAAACTGATGTTTAGGAGAGTCTTTAAAAGATTTATTGACAAGAATATTTCTACTATTATTTTCAAATTAATCTAAAGATAGGTAACAATAGTGTTCTTGTTATAACTAGCTAGAATATAGTCCAATTCCAATATGTAATTTC